GGGGGGCGGGGGCGCCCCTGCTGCGGGGACCTGGGCGCACGGCCAGACGCCAGTCCAGGTCCAGAGAGTCAGCCGGTCCGGTCCGGCCATCTCCCGTCGGTCGTGCTCGTGCCGGTGCTTGCTCAGGAACGTCCCCGACGACGCCCACCCCGTCCGTGGCGTGGACGCGGACCGTCGGCGGCGGCCTCACCACTGCGATGCGGCACGCCGCTGATTAGCCAGCTGCGGCACAGGTGGTGCAGGCGCAGGCGGCGGTAGGGAGGGCGCAGCTGCAGGTGAGTTACAAGCCGCCGCCACCCACACGCATGCGGACAGAGCGACGACGCCCTGGCAGCGCTGCTGCGGGGACGTATTCAGTTACCGGATCCCACCGCACCGCACCTCACCTCGGTGCGCGCAGCACCACCAGCACGCACACGCTCGATAGAAGGATCAAGGGATCATTTCGCAAAACATTCAATCATTTCCGCGGTCTCGAAGGTGGGGTAGTGTGGTGCAGCGGGACAACATCGAGGAGAGGATCATCAAGTCTATCCCTCCAAACCCTGACCCCATCTCCCTAAGGAACGTTATCCGAGGGGTCTATGATTTGATTATGTAACACCATACTCTCCCATCGAGGTGTAGCACCTACATGGGACCCTGTGTTGTGCCCACTGCACTTTGACTTGCCGTGCCGAAAGTCATTGTCAGTTAGTTGACATATCGGGTAAGGTCCTCCACTTCGTGTCACCTCCACAATCCCCCGAAAACCATTATTGAATACCAGTTTGTGTCCAGGACCCAGAGCCGGCCCCGGACACGCCGTGCTCGCCCGGCTCGCCCCGGGAGGCCGCCATGGACAGCGACCCTCTGCTGCCGCAGCGGCCGCCGGCGCTGACGCTGTCCCAGAAGGCGGCGTACGGCGTCGGCCACGTGCTCAACGACATCTGCGCCGCGCTATGGTTCTCCTACACGCTGCTCTTCATGCAGCTCGTGCTCAAGATCCCCGCCACCACCTCGGGGGCACTCCTGCTCGTCGGTCAGTACGACGTGTTCCTCCTGCTATCGAAACAACGCGGAAATGTGTCAAATAAGTCGTGTTGCAGCCTTGTGTCGATGTCAAAATGACAAGTTTATCCTAAAGTTCGAACCGATTTTGACCGAAACTTGTGACTTTGATAACTCTGCTCCCTGCCCCCGGCTCTGCTGACCCGTCCGTTTCTTTGCAGGACAGGTGGTGGACGCGCTGGCCACGCCGCTGGTCGGATACATGTCGGACAAGTGGGGGAGTCGGAAGACTTGGCATCTAGCCGGTGAGTGCGGGGCCGCCTTGAGGGGACCAGGGACCATGCTGCTCACGCCGCTGCGTCGGCCGACCGGTGCCGGTGAGGCCGGCGACTTGGCCTCGAAATGCCATGGTCACGGGTTCAAATCACCTACGTTATTCACGAAAGTTACATAAGTCGAGCCATCTCCTGGGCTCTCGACAGTTCGAGATTTTCGGTTTTGCCTCCGAGATTCATCTGCGGAGTGATCCATTTGGATTTACGTAAGCCCGCAGTTCATCTCTGCGGGTCCTAATGAATAATTCAAAACGAACACCGTGACAAATTATCGTCGCCCAAATGAAAACGACGTTGCAACGCTCTAATTCTTAACGACATGTGACAGGCACGGTGCTGGTGCTGGTGAGCTTCCCGCTGGTGTTCTCCGAGTGCGGGGTGTGCTGGATGGCGCCCGGCCTGACGTGGGTGGCGCCCCTCTACTACGCGGTGCTGATCGCCGCCTTCCAGACGGGCTGGGCCACGGTGCAGATCGCGCACCTCTCGCTCATCCCGGACCTGACGCCGCGGCAGGCGGAGCGCGCCGAGCTCACCGCCATCCGCTACACGGCGTCGGTGTGCTCCTCGCTCGCGCTCTACGTCATCACCTGGATCGTGTTCCACGTCACGAGGGGCGGCATGGGCATGGACCGCGTCGGCCCCGGCGACGTCTTCAAGTTTAGGGTGAGGAGGAATCTTCCGCGCGGCTCGGATAGTTTTCCCCACGTTTTAAAGCTCGCCGCGTTTCCAGAGCTATAGCCTTGACCGGTTTCCCTTTCCTTGTGCAGAGCATCGTGTTCGTCGGGGTGACGATCGGCACGGTGTGCTCCATCTGGTTCCGGTACGGGCTGAACGTGCCGTCGCACGCCGACATCTCCACCCGGCACCAGGTCAACAAGGCCAACGCCCGCAACGGCAAGGCGCCGTCCCAGCTCGTCAACGGCCTGGACTTCCTGCGCCGGTCTTCCCTCTACCAGGCACGTGGGCCGTGGGCGTTACGGACGGCTCAGAGAGGACGCCGTCAAACTAGAGATCGACATGTCTTTGACGGACACCTCCCCCCTCGCAGGTGGCGCTGCTGTACATGGCGTCCCGTCTGTTCCTGACGCTGTCGCTCGTGTACATGCCGCTGTACCTGGACGAGTCCCTCAACCAGGACGTCGAGACGCTCGCCAGCGTGCCTTTCGCGTCCTTCGTCGCTTCCTTCATCGCGTCGCTCGCCATCAAGTACTCCAGCGGCTTCCTCAGCAGCAAGGTGAGTTAGGGGGGCAAGTCCCTGACGAGTTCACCTGGCACCCGATTCCATAAAAGTTCCTTTCGTTTTCGTTATCAAGACATGTCTTGAGTCTAATCTAGTTGTCGCCCTGGATAAGGCGTTACGTTCGAGCCGACCGCCGGGTGGCCTATCCAGGCTTGTGCAGGCGTTTCACGGGTGGTCAGACCTGACCGTTGGGACACCCGCCTCACCTCACCACCTTTAGGGTAATGATTGGTGTGCTCTGTCCCCTGTGCAGATGGGGTACCTCCTGGGCGCGCTCATCTCTCTCGCGGGGTGCATCTGGGTCGGCACCGGCAGCAGCGCGGGTCAGAGCCTGCAGATGTACGGCGTGGCGGTCCTGCTCGGTGAGAACTGCTACACGTCGCACCGACCCCACTGCGAAATGACTGCGAAAAGATGTCGTTGTGGCATCGTTTTGACTTGACAGTAGTTATCCCACTAGCGGCTCATGTGGGCGCGTCCCTCTTGACGGATGGTGTGCTGCAGGTGCTGGGAGCTCCATCACCATGGTCACGTCCCTGTGCATCACGGCGGACCTCATCGGGCCCAACACGGACAGCGGCGCCTTCGTGTACGGCGCCGTCACCTTCCTGGACAAGCTCTTCAACGGCATCGCCGTCATGATCATCGAGGAGCTGTAAGTGCAACAGTCAGTCTTGATGGGGGGTGACCAAATCTGCAGTAGTGCCTCCCTTTGCTGCGCCATTGGATGTTAAGCCCATCCCCTCCTACCCCCACCCTGTCCACGAAAGAGAGAAGGCAGAAAGGAAGATGATTCTGGTTCCTTCCTCCCTCCCCGTCCCCCTCTTCTGTTGATTTGTCTTGTGTTTAGCCGTACGGCAACTGTTTCTCATTTGCATGCAGATTGTTGTTTCAAAACTTGCCGTAAGTTTTCGTTGTCGTCTCGTAAGTAATTTTATAAATCGTGTTACAGCTAAGACACACAGAATACAAACCTATGAATGCTATCCTTAAGGTTTATGGGGCGGGGATTCCCTCCTGTTTCTGTCAGTTACCAAAAGCTAACCTGTTGCTACATCGTGTTAACCCTCTCTGAAAACATGATGTTTCGCCGTCTCCGCTGGCTCAGTGATAAACTTTAAAGTGTCAATCCGCTCTGTGTTTCCTGTTGCAGGAAATGTGAGGATGTAACGCTCTGCCCGCATTACTATCAAGACGTCCTGGCCTATGTGTGTGGGGGTTCTGCGCTTCTGGGTCTCATAGTTCTTCTTACAGTGTTTCCCTTCAGCCGGAATATCTTCAAGTCTAAAGGTTTGTCAGATATTTTTAATGGCATTCCCCTTTAGCTGTAATTTTATTTTAAATTTATAAGTATATATTTTTTCAAGAAATCAGATGTTTTCTTTTGGTGATTTTTCTCGTTTGCTTGTAGAACTCATATTAATCTTACGGTTGCTCTGGGGGAGGTGTAGCTAAATTGATATTATCTTTGTTTCTTTATATAGGTAGTAACATAGTTGTTGGGTGACATTCAAGATGAGTGCAAAGACTTCCACTGTATCTCAATCTAGTAGACTTATGGCACTCCTGAAGACGCTTTATCAAGCGCCGGAAAAAATCTTACCGGAAAGTCATGAAAATAAAGAGGAAAATAACAATATTTCGGGGGAACTTCCTAATATTAACAATTATGAAACTGACTGCTTGAGCCAATATGAAGAAAATTCAAGTGGTACATTTAATGAATGTGATGGCAGTCAACAGAATGTTGAGGATGCTGACAAATCACTCATTGAAAAAGACATTGATTTTCAGTTTTATGGTCCTGGTGCTGTCTTTGATAAATACATGCTGGAAGAATATATTGAGAAAGATGGAAAGTTGTACAAAACAAGTTCCTTGGAATTCAAGGAAGAAACAGTTGCTGAAGAGAGAACTGATACTTGTCCATTTGATAAGTACATTTCTGACTCTAAATTTGAGGGTCATAAATTCATGCTGGAAGAATATATTGAGAGGAATGGAAATTGCTATAAAACAAGTTCCTTGGAAGTTAAGGAAGAAACAGTTGCTGAAGAGAAAACTGATACTACTTGTCCATTTGAGAAGTATATTTCTGACCCTAAATTTGAGGATAATAAATACATGCCCGAAGAATATATTGAGAGAGATGGAAATTTCTACAAAACAAGTTCCTTGAAAGGTAAGGAAGAAACAGTTGCTGAAGAGAAAACTGCTAGTTGTCCGTTTGAGAAGTATATTTCTGACCCTAAATTTGAGGATAATAAATACATGCTGGAAGAATATATTGAGAGAGATGGAAAGATCTACAAAACAAGTTCCTTGGAAGTTAAGGAAGAAACAGTTGATGGAGAGAAAACTGATACTTGTTCATTTGATAAATATATTTCTGACCCTGAAATTGAGGGTAATACTATTTTTACTAATTTTCTGGCAGAAGAATGCCCAGAGGAAGAAGAAGAAATCAGTGAAGCGAGCTCCTCGGAAGTAGATGAAGTTGATGAAGATGAAGTAGGTGAAGTTGATGAAGATGAAGTAGATGAAGATGAGGTGGAGACAGACAACTATTTGTATTCTGATAATAGTTTACAGTATGGGACTGGAAACATTCTGTATGATTGGTCCCAAATTATTAAGTCAGATGAGGACCGCAATCAAATTTATGACAGATGGATGACTGATGTTGAGACATGGGAGAGAAATCGTTTGCTATGGCTTGACGAAATGAGTCAGTCAGAAGGATTTGATTCTTCAGATTACAAAGATAGAACATTTCTTAGCAAAGTAGAGAACTTTCCTGCAAGTTCTAATTCTACGTTAGGGGCAGAGTCTTCCAATACAGTTAACATGATACCTGTATCTGCCCTACAGGTTGAGAAACTGAAACCTGAGAATGTGAAAAGTACAGATATCTCCTCAGTTGAACTAGTAAATCAGCTGGACTCCCCTGAAAAGTTGGATAAGTGGTATAAGAGTCAACGATTGCGGCATCACAAATTGTTGCATGAAATGGGTTTGCCTAATTGGTATGAAGAAATCCTTCAAGATCTAAGTAATGAAGATGTAGAAGTTTTAAGTGTAAGTTCAACTGGCGCAGACTGTCAAAAATATGACGATGACTGTGAAGAAGCTCTAAGTGCAGAGAAAGCACAACCTTCATGTCTAAGTGTCTCTTGTGATGTTGTTCTTGTGTACCAGTTCACAGACCGCCATTTGTGGCGTAAATACCATGGTTGCTGGAAACGAAGTAAACCAGAGATTTAATTTTATTCATGGATCTGAACTTTTCATTCTGAAGTTGAAGTCTTTTTCTTGTTTTTCCCACTTAAATCCTTGGTTTATTATCCTAGGAACTGCATACTTTTGTTGTTATAAACTTTCTAGGAAAATGAAAGTCTTACTGTATTAATCTGTCTCTTAAATGTGATCCCTCTCGGTGTAAAACCTCTGTTTTTATTTTCACAACTCTTAAGAAGGAAAGGTAAATCTTAGCTTCACACAGCAAATTGCATATATTTGGATCATACATCATCACCATTTGTACTGGTAGTTTTCTAAATTTAAAGCTCAAATAAGTCAATACATTAGTCATTTAAATACAGTCCATGCATATTTCCATAGATACATACAGTAGTGGCCCCTCATTAAAATTACGAAAACATCAAATCTTATTCCCTTCCTGTGCTCCCATGAGACAAACAATACATTAACAGTTCATAACTCATTCATAAATTAATAATTTGAGCAAATATTCAGTCCATACTAAAGAAATCAACAAAACAAAATTACCTAATCTGTGACACTTAATTACATTATTGTTGGAAGAGAGAAATGTCTTCTTCCATGCCTTTTACTTGAAGGCCCGATAATAGAAAATTAATTCATACCCAGCCTTCACTTCAAAACTAACAAATAAAAATCTAGACATGTATATTAGACATATCTCAACTGTTTCTTGATGATGAATGAAATTTGGCGGCATTGACAGAGCCCTGAAATCACAACATGAAATAGTTGATATTAAATTTTAAGAACAATATTTTAAAACAAAAAGAAAAAGGTGTGGCATAAAAAGTACCAAAACATGAGATGAGCAGGTGGTTTGGGATGTAGATCCTTTGCGGTCAGAATGGGTAGTGTGTGAAGGAGACTCTGATGGAGTTGCAGATGCAGATGAAGGAACAGTAGATTGGTGATACCTTGATGAACTAACAGAAATATGGTTATCCATTGAGAAAAAGTAGCTTCTAGACCATTTTGAATGAGCAAACAAAATATTTACCATGAAGATGATCCTTCCCTTTCAATATCTGCTCTAGAACCTGAAATTTGTAAACATTGTAAAATATAGAAAATGTGATGATGACAAGGAGATTTTCTTTTGATCTGAATAAACCAAATACTTACTTCTTGGAGCAGAACGATTTGGTAAAAATGGTTCATGATGAGCAGCTGAAGCTGGGAAAAATAATCCAGAGTGGAAGTTTGAAGAAAGATCTACATCCACACCTGAATCAGCATCTCCAGCAGAGAAGCCACTTCGGTTGGTCTGTCGAATTGTGAATCCTTCACTTCTTTTAATTTCAGATGCTCTTTTCCTGAATGTTTCATCACCTCTTTTATTTCTACATACATGAACCGTCTCAGGGTCTACTTGTACTATGTCATTAGTATCAGTCTCACGAGAGGTTGAGGCTGGAGAGTCCTCTGGGGTTCCAGTGTCATCAAGCTCAATCACCGTAACACCTCTGCTGGAGTTCATACTGTTCAGTATATCATTGAACAAGTAGGGATTAAAAACATGTTGCATTGCAGATTCAGATAGCCACTCTCCTAAATCCTCATTCTGTGACACCGACTCTTCATCTTCAGTGTCTATACCCAACTTTCCAAAGTCTATCAGATCTTCCTGCCTCTCCCACATTTTTCGTTGCTTTTGAGAAGCCTGATCTTTTTCATTTCTAGGATTATAACTTTTACAGGTATCAGGTATTTCTGAATTTAATTGAACATCTCTACTCTTGTTGAAATTAGTACCATATTCTTCTACTGTGTCCTGGAGGTTCTGTTCAATTATGGAATGTGAACAGGAACCACACTTTCTACTATCCCTTAGCAATGGGTTATTTGAATTAATCCTGGTGTCAAACATCTGACATGTAGCATGATCTTTGCTTTCCTTTGGAATACCAAACGGTCTGATGTTGGAGTCTGATGAAGATGCAGCTTCCCCATTAGATATTAATCTTGCTTTGAAGTTTTTAGTAATTTCATCTAACTCAGACAATTTTTCCCTGAAAAAAGAAGTAATAAAATAAGTCTGATTGCATAACTGAAATAATTTAGTTGGTTTAGGTTCATAATTCTAACCATGACGTAATATTTTGAGAGGATGGGAAGAGAGGGTTGAGAGGGGAAAATTGGACAGGAACAGGTATCACATCTGCAATGCAGATGTATCTGAAAGACATGACTGACTAATTGTTTAATAGATAAAAAGTGAAAGTTACGTTAAAATATTACCTCAAGACAGTTGATGGATCTTTATAATCTTTGGCATCAGCATTAGATTCTCTAGCTCCACCACATGGGTGAGCGATTGCTGTGGAGGTAAGGATGGAATCACACTTCTTCCCATTCTGTTGAGCTGATGAAGAAAGAGATGTACTTTCACATTTTCTTTGCAAAGCAATTGAAGGGCTTGTCTTCATTTTATGAGTATGATGAGTTGATTCTTGAGTATCACATGGAGGCTCAACCCCTTTTTTATGCTTGATAAGCAGCTCATAGTTGCTCAGTATAGATGTTGTGGCCTGATTTGTAGTCTGTGAATCTACCCTCTGTACAAGGATATCAGGAAACTGTGTGACATGTGAGGGAAATTTTGGATATGCACAATGGGCCACAAACATAGAATGTACAGAACTTGTCTGAGGATTATCATCACATGGCAATGGTGAAAAATCTACGATTTCCGAAATCTTCTCCAGTGGTTCGACTGACAGCTGCAAAGAATTAAAAATAAAAAAAGGAAAGAACTGACAAATTCTTTAGAACTTGTAATGAAGTAAAAAACAACTTGACTCACTTTTATTTGTCCTCGACAAGTGCCAGAAAAATCCATAACATTGTACCATCCACATATTGAGGGGAGACCAGCTGAAAGAACAGTCAGGTCAAGGGTGGAAAAACCTATTAATTTTGCAGACTCCATATCTCTCACTTTATGTTCTGTAATAACACTGTTGCTCTCCCAAATTTTAAAAATAAGTCTTTTCATAGTCTAGAACATACATAAGACAAAGTAAAAATAAAAGATTATCAAAAGTCACAGAATATCAAATAATTTTTAAAAATACAAGAGGATATCCATGGGATATCCTAGCATAAGTCAACAAAAATACTTACCAACACAAGAAGGTCAAGTGGTAGAACAACTTCCTTCTCCCAGTGCCATTCAGGTTCACCATTATTGAGAACTGCAGGGCTAATTGAAATAGGATTATGACACATACTAGTCGATACAGTACCATCTAACCCACAGGGATTAAGACTGACAAATACAAAGGACTGGATGTTCTGATGCAGGTCTGACACAGGCCCTGTTGTTGACTGTAAATGTAAGGCACATTCTACTCCAACTTTTGCTCTAAATGTTTTTGGTATGATGCTAGAATCTAAAATCGAATCTGAAGACAAACTTGGCAATGAGTCAGGCACACAATTCATTGTTTCTTGTCTGTCTCTGGTTTGGAGAGAAGATTTCTTAGACAATACTGGCTCCGAGTCTACTTCTATAGTTTCCACCTCGTCTATACTTGAGCGGGGAAGTACTGACACATCTGTTTTAACAGGAACTGTGTTAGGACTTTCGCAATCATGGTGGTCACTGTAAGCAAAAGTTCCAACATCCTTCTTGAGAATTTCTTGTCCTCTAGGTGTTGTTTGACTCTCTTGATGAACTGTATTGATGAAAATCTGTTGTGCTTTATCCTTTTGATCACATTTAGTCTCTCTGCTCGCTGCTTTGTTTTCAACTTCATCCTGGGCTGTCCCAGCACAAAGTATGATAGGGCTCGTACCTCTTGTTGACATATGCTTGACATTAACTTGATTTTCAGTAGAACTCGTGCTAGTTTCTGCATCTGCCTTATTTTTAGTCATCCAATGCTTTTGAGTCGAAGGAGTAGCCATATTACACTCTTCCATAGGGTCAGTACTCAATTGGACAGTGTGTGGGCTTCTGTTTCCAGTACACACATTATAGGAGTCTGGACTTTCCTTCAAACCAGGCTTTGGATTATATTTCTTGGTTTCATTAATGACATCAGCGACACTTCTTTGAACTTTATTTTTAACTGGTAAACTTGTTGGCAAATAGGCACTCTTTTGTGTTTCTCTCCAGGAGGCTGGTTCCCAGGAGGCATGTAAATTTTTGGAAGACATATCTGATTTTTGGTTTAAATCTAGAGCCTCTACAAACTGCAGACCATCACCAGTGGTGGATGGGGCAATAAACTTCTTATCAGGAGATCTTGCCCAATTGGGCACAGATAAGGGTGTTCTGCCAAGATTCAAGTCCCCTTCTGATGATTTATGATGTTTTGTAATCATTTCGCCAGTATTGAGCGATTCCTCCAAATTTGAGTATGGAATGTTTTCTGAGATGGAATCGCCTCGGCTGCCTGGAAAATATCCTCTGTAAAGAGAATGTTGAACAACAGAATGCCTATAATCTACTTTAACTCGAAGACTCCCATTGTTTTCTGAATCTATTTGGTTTCCTCTAGAGGATAAAGGCTCAAGTGGTAGGTCCAAGACCATGCATGAACAAGATGATGAAGAAAAGTTTGGTTTAGTCCTTGCTGCTTCCTTATAAGCATCTTCCAGAGTTGAAAGGCAAGAAATAGGAAGATATGTCTACAAAAAGAGATGGTGTATATGAAGCACAGTTCAGTTCCAATATTTTATGAAAATTAATTTTGAAGTAAACTCACCTCAGCAACAAGAAAATCTTGCACTTTCTCTCCATAAAGTCTGACGCATAGTGAAAAGGTAATGCATGCCTTTCCAGTTGTTCCTTGATATTTAAATGTCTGTCTCAGAAAGTCATGGAATAATTCTTTCTCAGGAATGATTACGGCATGAATTTGATGCTGAGATTGCATCCATGAACCATCCTCATTCTGGGATGTTTCAGTTGAACATGAACGCCAATCAACTATAAAAAAAAAACAAAAAACAGATATATTTCAAAATGAGTGTCCTCAGAATATAAATTTAAAAGATATTTGGACCTTTAAGAAATTGTTCTGAATTAACCTGTGCTCTTCTTCAAAGCATTTACAACTGGAAATTCGTAAGTTACATAAAAACGAAGATGTTTGCCTGATGACTTATTCAAAACATCTGTTCCAACAACCTGAAGAATGGTCAGTGCTAGCTCATGCTTGATGAATTGCTCCGATGGCAGAGTACCAACATTTGTTGAGCAGCCAGTTATATATGTAGAAAACTAAGACAAAAAGAAAAAGAAGTTTTGAGATGTAATTTGCAGCTCTGCAGCTAGAGAGTAAAAACCACATGGCTGTACACCAGACTGACGGTACCTTAATATTTTCACGCGGTACATGGGAGTTGGTTTGGCTATGGTAAGACCTCTCAGTTGATGGCAAGCTTGACGTCTCTGAGGACTGTTTTGATTTCAATGAAACATTTGCATTATCAACTAATTTTTTTATCAGACGATCAGCTTGAGTAGCTTGTTGCAAGGGAATTTTTGGAGCTGTTAAAGATTTGGTAGATATATTCCTTGTAACAGTTGTGACACTTTTGCCTAATTTCTTTTTGCTCAAAGATTGTTGACCCTTGTTTGAAGAGGTAGATCTTGGACTTTTCATGCCAAGTGAGTTGTTCTCTAATGTAATCAGAGAATAAGGAAGATAAAGTAAAATTATGAAGTGGTACAAAGGGTACTAAACAATTATTACTATAGATTAGATATTAGACTGACCTGGATCTAATAGCCCTCCAAAGTGAATGCGATCTCTTCCCAACTCAAGACAAACTCTTAGCTGAGCAATAGGGAGGCAATTAGAATCCATGACAGGAAGATCAAAATTATGCCGGAGATGGTTGGATTCAATCAGTGGTTTAGCTGAGTCAGGTGAAGCCAAACCAAGCACAATTGGGACTCGTTGGTGCAAATGCCTTGCACATACTTTGAAAGAGAAAGATGAAACAAGTGAAATCCATTTTGATTCTTCAGAGCTAGAGCTGTGCCAAGAAGTTGGAAGATTGTGAACAGTCCTATCCCCAAATGTAATTTCTGAAAGACAAAATTGAAGAAATATAAAAAATTATACATAGGTAGATAGACATGATTTAATTTGGACAAGTCATAAATTACCATTAGAAAAGAGAGGAAAGAGAGAAAATTTAAAAAAGCTGCAGCACTACATACCATGGTCAGAAATTTTTTTGGAGCAGTAACGTACATTAGATTCCCATGGACGGCTTCCTGATGGTAAAGGAAATTTGTATTCCACAAAGTAAGTCACTCCAGGAGGTTGTAAACTGAGAGCTACAAAGAAGGATTATTTGTCAAAACTTCAACAGAAATTGTAATGTCATTATAGTTAACTAACATCAATCACTAACCCGACTGACTGACGCAACTTTTCTTCTTTGGATGAGAACCTACTCTTTTAATGCCATTTGAGTTAAGGACCAAACTAAGAATAGTAATGCGAAGGCAATTGATTTGTGAAAGAAGCTGGCGATCAATCTCAACTGTAAAATTACAAGCAAATCAAGTAACTACAGGAAGCCTCAGAAGGCCCAACTATTTCCCATTTACCAAAGTAAGCTTACATGAACACTGATTTTCATCACATAATGGAGTACTTTCAGAGTAGTCTGTTATGTTGGTGACAATTTCTGAGGATTCCTTTGCATGTAAATCAGATGACTGGGAAGAATCTTTTTGCTAATGAAAAAGAAAGTATTAGTTGTTTGAATGAAATGGTTTGAAAGATCAGCTCAAAACTTGAGAAATATGCTACCTGAAATTTAGTATGTATGTCTGGTACACTTTCAAGTATGTCTTTCGTCGGAGTCATATTTCTAATGGCTGCAAGGGCTTCTTTTTCTTCACAGGCAGACATTGGCTTACCTAACAGAATGAGGCAAGAGATTAAACATACTCTTTGCTTATAAATGAGCAGGTTGATTATAAATAAGCAGGTAACTATACATGTTGAAAAAAAAATATATCTAATTTACTCACCAGACAAATAGTCTATAACCTTTTGTTTGACAACAGGTATAGTTTCACGACAGGATTTTAAATTTACTTGGCATGTAGTTTCATCAACAGGTGTGCAACTGTCAGATCCTAATGTGAGACCCCCTGTGGCTTCCGCAAGCGATGATAATCCATTAATATCGGGTACATTTTTGAAGTCTAATTGAATTTTATCTTCTATAACAGAAGCAGTCATGGCATCCCTTATTCTAGTACCATGCTCAAGTATTTGTGATATTATGTTACTGGTAGGAGACGCCCTCTTCTCAGAAATCTCTGTGCGCTCTGCATTATTACGATCTTCATTTGAATTTCCAGTTGTAGAGTCACATGGAGAAGATAAGTCAGGTACAATTCTACTTTCGATATGTATATCCTTCAAAACTTTCTCATTCTTCTTTGTCTTTTCTTCTTTACTGTTACTATAAGATGTAGACTGTTTTGCCCTGGGAGGGCTGAGACGCTTTAAGTCTTTTGTTTTAAATCCTTGCTTGTTGGGAGCCTTAAGCACTGTAAGATTGCCATTTGCTATACTGCTCTGCATGCGTAAATTGAAACTAACATGCAAATCACCAATACGATTTCCAAAATTATTAACTATAGGAAAGTATCCCTGAAATGGGCTACTTGATATCATTTGCCAAATATCCATGACAGTGACGCATCCAATTGGCATGCCATATTTATCGGCTACTGCAATTTCAAGTCCTCCACACTTCCGCAGATACTTTTCAAATAAATCCAGTGAGGTGCGTATTTCATAGATAACACCAGCGCTTCTTCTCTTTACTGAATCTTCAGCAACATCACTGGGCCTGAAAATGTGTGGTCAGGAATAATTGATAGAAATTTGTCTGGTTACATTATTTGAGCTTTTTGTGCAGATTGTAAACAACCCCTTAGTGTCAGTGTCAACATTCACAAATAAAAGTATTGTAACTCATGTACTTCAGCGTTCGAAAATACTAACCGGAATGTGGTAGGTTCATCACCTCCCCACCACAAAACAACAGCAGATACTTCACCAGGTGGTTTACGAGCCCACAGAACTTCATCAACTTTCATAACCAAATGCCCATTTACTTTGCCAACAACTTTTGGGGGAAGCGAAAGCCCCGCGACAGTGGCAGCGTCTTCAGTCATTTGGAGTAAGCAGCAGACTCTTCACTTTCTCTAAAGAATAAATACTTTTGGGTTCATTGCGCTATATGAATTACATATTTTGAAAGAGTCAACAGAGTTTACTATGTCAAATTTCATACTACCGCGTCAACGGACAAAAACATGAAAACAAAACAGTGTCAGTTGCACGCAAACTTAAACAGAAGGCGGCGGGTAGTTCCTCTCCTCGCCACGAGATAGCGTTGTTGGTTTGTTTACATTCCCGGAGCGCGGCGACAGGTGCCGGCTCGCTCGCTGCACGTGCACGGTGCGCAGGGGGGCGTGTCGCTCGCACTTAACTCGTTTAAAGTTTGTGTTTAATGGTGGATTTAATCCTTGACTTCGACTCGCTCCAGAAGCCATCCGAAAAGGAAGTTAAGAAGGAACTCAAAAATGCTCGTGCACATCGGGGGTGATACCTCCGAAGTCAACGAACGTCCAACCGCTCGCCGCTCGCGCAGCCGAAAGCGGTAAGTGTCTTGTTTGCTTTCAAATGTCTTGATCAAATGTCTTGAAAATATAGAATTGGGTGTAAATTTTGTTTTTGAAGTCTCAGTGGCTCAATACACACCAGTTGCTTATTTACGACGTCTGTTTCTTATAACCTTGCTTATAACTTACAACTTCAAAATTCAATAGAAATGTGCCCAGGAAGTTATTTTTTTTAAAATTATTGTTAATTATTATGTGTAGAAAGAGTATGTGATATTTGACAATATACTTATCCGTCCGATTAACCTTCATCCTTCATTGACTAATGGATGTTATGTCATGGTTTTGCGAATGCTAAATATAAATTTATTTGTTTTCAACTAATACTCTAACAGGCAACGCTCATTACGTTGTCATGTTAACATACCACTTGACATATCATGAACGTTGCTTGTTGTGTTAGTTAAAATAAATGAAATTTCAAAGTTTCACTCTCGTGCAACGAACAATTGTCATTGCTTTGATCATGTCTATCTATGGTCGTGAATGAAAGTTCACCAGGAGAGTTGTAGGAGTGCTGCAGATGCAATGAAGGGCACAAATGTATTTTGAAGTGAGCACCTAGTTGGTAGACCACTCCTTGCGGACTGTTTTTTTGGCCCCCACTTTGGAATGTAGATGATATGGGGTGGTTGATTCGCTTGAAGGGGGGAAAATGGGAGGTGGGGGATTATCAGTGTGTAACGCATCCCAGCAGATGTCTAGGGCAGCATTATTGTTGTGTTAGGGCCAAGCCCGATTAACTGTCACATACCCTAGCAGCGCCAATACACTTAAATGCGCATTTAATGCGGTAATGGGCATTAAATGTGTCAAAAATCTTTTGGGAGCGTTTTTATGCACATTACCACATCGGGCGAGTGCGAGGGAGACACACACCCATTTCGGTGCGGCCCTAAATCAACTGACGTATAAAAACAGTCTAGAAAGGTGAAGATAATAAACTAATTAAAAGGCAGGGGGCCGGCGGAGGAGCCCATATCACGTTATGTCATCGTCAGCCCGCTCGGCCTCTCCTTCTGATTTTAGTGTTGGAGGAAAGGAAGTGCTTCGGGCTTTGCGTTATATGGACCGTAATTTTTAGAGGAAAGATACGAGAAAAGAACAAAGGGAGAGGGACCGCACACCGCGCCCCGCATGTCCGGTGCCCAGCCGGGCCCCATGCGCTGAAGTGAGCAGATCAGTTGCCCGCTTTCTGGAAGCAATTAGTGTTACGAGAGAGAGGCAATAACGGAGAAGGCGGTCGCATAGATCGATGCCATCTAATAGTTCCCCAAACTCATGTGTAAAGCTGTGGGTTGGAGTGCGAGTCGATGACCGACCATTCCCTTATTCCGCAGCGCGAACGTGTAAAGGGTCAGGCTTCGGCGGCTAGAAAACCACTCGCGAACGATGTTGGGTCACATCGTCACATCTTACCGCACCTCGTGATTGATTTAACGGCTAAGATTCGGTCTTCGGTCCGGACGCGCGGTCGGGCTCATCTTACATCGCCATCGCCATCTCCGCACTCTGCGCGAGGGAAGTCCCACGGTGCTCAAAGGGATACGCTGCTGGCGATTCCCTGAGCTGCTGGCATGCCTCCCTCCCCCACCCTTATTCCCCTTTCTCCCCCTCCCCCTCACCCCACCCGCGTCGATACCCCGCGCTGCTCGAGTCGCTGCCGCCCAACTTCGGCCGCGCCGCCGCGAGGTGGGGAAGGCCAGCGCCGACCCTAAGGTAGCTGCGGCCGACTGTGGCGGGGCCGGGCCGGGGCGGGCCGGCTCCACGGGCCGCGGCTCCAGACTGGGCCGAGCCTCCACTCCAGACCTGTTCGCCGTCTGTGCCGGTAGGGCTGCGGAGCTGTGAGAGTCGCTGGGGGTGTCCGTACTACCGCCGCCGTGCCCGCCCGCGCCGCCCCCCACAGCCATGTGTCCGCAGCAGGCTGCCCGTCCTCGCCGGCACCCGTCCTCGCCGACCCGTCTGTAGAACGACCGCGGGGCTTCGAGTGCGCGCCAACCTCCCCGGCGTCCACCCCGCGAGTGCGATTAGTTTCTTTGCATCTGCTTCAATTTTTTTTTTCCTGTTGTGAAAAAAAATAATCCGAAGAGCGAATGAGTGGTGTTGTCCGCGCGATTTGTGTGCGAGCGTCAAGAGAAATAACAAGTTGAAAGTGATTAAAGTGATTGCAAGTGATGAGTTCGTCGTTGTGAAAACTTGTGAAGGATACAACGGCACACCAGTCGACGGACTCTCCACGGGACCTGAGACCCCGGACGCTACAAGGTGAGCAGTCGCCTGTGTACTCTGTACTACAGGGTGGGTGATCCAAGCCGTCTTTTTAAAATGATTATACTCCGGATTCTTACGTGCGGACGGGTTGCATACTCGCATACTGGCGAGCGACGGTAGGCAAGTTCGCCCTCACGCGTGAATCCGGTACAGTGTAAGCATTTAAAAAAGACGGTGCGGATCACCCACCCTGTTCAACGGCGCTGGGGTTGCATCCAGAAAATATGTGTTATCTCCATTTCTGAGATCGTTGTTCTTTGTTCTCAGAAGTACGTTCTCAAAACGAGTACCATACATTCAGAACGTGTGCGATGTGCGATGCTCTTAATAATGAGAACAATGACGTATCCAGGACATATTTTGGGGGGTCGGCGGGCATCCGCCCCACCCCCACTTGCGGGAGGCGAGGGCTAATTTTGTCTCGAAAGATGTTACGTTTTACAAATATGTGATATGTGAGTTGTGTTAAATTTTTAAGGAAAATATTCTCTCGAACTCTTAAAATTGCATGAAAACTACCAAATTTTCAATGGAAAATTTGCCCTTTTGTAGCAGCCATAATAATTATCTATAATTATGTACTCTCTACCAGCAAATTAGACGTGTTTTTGAACACATTGCTATTATTGACTTTGGGCTCTTACACTGGTAAAATAAGTGTGCAAAATTTGCACAGCAGCGTGTGCAAGTAATGATGTTTTACATTACATGGTGTCTAACTCAAGTTGGACACTTGCGTGCTGTGCACATTTAGACGTTTTCTAAACGTTTAAATTCTGCACACAGTTCTATGCTATCAATATTAAGCATATGGTGTGCAGCTGCTATACTTTTCGGAAGTGTCGAAAGTTGAAACACCAATTGACGTTTAACTTGGTTAGACACCACAATGTGTCCAGAAAATGCACACCTCAACTTAAACATCCAATTGACGTGCAACATTTAAGCACTTGTTTTTCCAGTGTAACCGCAACCTTCTTGGGGCAACTACTACCTTAATTTTACATTTTCCCAAGCTACCTTGACTGATATTGGAATTCCCTGCATTTGCTTGGTTTAGCTTGGCCGGGGGCACCCAGCTGAAAAGATCGTTTGGTGTAAAGGAGAGCGTTAGAGAGAGGGAGGGGGGGGGGGAGCGAGAGGTGACCGATGTCTTTTTTACCAACTCTATCCCGGTCCGATAGCCGTGGACAAAGCCGGTGGCCATTGAGGGCAGTCAGCCCGGGCGGCCCTCGGCGGAGCTTCCACCCGCTCGTGTTGTCCTGAGACTCGCAGCCGCGCATCCAGTTTTTTTCTTCTTCTTCGTCTTTAATCCTTCGTCGCCCTTTCCCTCCGGGGTGGGAGTGAAAGAGATAGCACCGTAACTCTCAAAATTCACATTTTTAGAAACAAACCAACAACGAAAGTCATGGCTAAACATACAGTCACATTCAGCCAATGCTATTTTTTTTTTGCATTTTTTTCTAAAAGAATGATTAAAAATTGCATCGTTTGTACCGCGAAAAAAAAATAATCCTTCAGACTCTGTAGGTTTTTCGCTCGTTTTCTTTCCTTTGTCCCCAACGCCCCGACCCTCGCAACGCGCATATGTGGGTGTCGGCCGCTGACAGTCGATACACCTTGGGCCGCTCAACTGGACCAGGAGGCGGCTCAAAGGATATCGGGGTTATTCGCAAGTCTGCGGCGGCGGCTCGGCGCGGCGGCGGTCCAGTTGGGTGTTATGGCAATGCCATGCGGCTGGTATTGGACGGGCGATCGAAACCGGCACAGCAGCGGCGCGGACCTGATGCAGGAGCGTGATGGCGGGGCGGGGTGGTCAGACCGCATCTCGTCACCCAAATGGATCTACGCCCCCCAGGACCACCACCGCGGCCGCGGCTGCCGGCCGCCGCGCCGCCGTCCCACGGCAAGTCGAAGTGGCGCGTCAGACTAATTTTGGCGGTATGGGGTGGGCCGATGAAGTCTGCAATCTGCATGATGATGGCGAGCGGGGCGAGGGGTGTCGGCCACAAAGTGTATTTATACGGCTGCCTTTGGGTGGTTATTATAGAGTCATTGAATATTTTTTTTTATACGGTATACTCTATTTGAGAGGAGGGCAGAACTTACTTGCTGGGCATTAAAATTTGAGTATTTCACATGCATTGTGAATCATGCTACCGACAAATCACAACCACAATTGTTGCCTCGATATTTTCTGGGATCAGTTAGTTCACAGATTAGTATCCAAGAAGCATGTTTAAGCGATTTTCACATTTTTTTTCATCCATCTTTGCGAAATCTGTTGTAAAAGCACAGCTCGGCCGTGGCGACTTGAATGCGGGAGAGAGTGTGGCGCGCCTCGCCAGCTGTGGGCCGCCTGCATTCACAGAGAGACACTCGAGGATTTTATCGAGGAGGATGTAAAAGAAGCCGCCCGGTCGGGTGTTGGCCGAGTCGATTGCAGGCTTTGTGAGGCGCGGGATCATCCCGTGAATAGGTACCCTTCGTTTTTTTTCCTTTTTTGGTCGTTGGCTTCCGCGGTGCCGTGTCACGCGAAGTGAAGTTAACTCGGATATCGTCCGTGTTACCCCTTTTCTTCCACTGTTTTCTAAGTGTAACACTTTACGACTTGCGCGTCCACGTCCACGAATGGGACCGACAGTACTCTAGTTTTAAATGTAAACACACAGTAGTCTCTTATTACAAAGACGCGTTCGTTTCCTAT